GACCCTTCCAGGCAGGACCATCATGCAAACCCCCGCCCCCCTCCCAACCACCACCACCACCACCAGAGAACCAACAAGTCCGACATAGGCCGACAGCTAGATGAAGCCATCTGCAGAAAATGTGCCACCACAAACTCTGCAGATAGCAACAGACAAAAAGGGGATGAGAATCCAAGAACTAGGGCCAAAGCAGATTCCAAAGAGTGGACGAGCACAGCCTCTTGGCATGCGACGCGAGAAGCAAAGAACAAACACCACTTCCCTCAGAATCAGCACAAACAACTTTAACAAGGCAGCCAACGCCTGAGTCGCCGAGGCAAGTGCACTGGCCCGGAACCCAGCTCCTCCACATCCTCCTCGAGCCAGTCTGAAGACAGCTCCAGCAGGGAAAAGAAGTGCAAGACTGAAGCTAAATGCCTCCCGGGTGTGCAAATCCTCAGCTACCAGGGAAGCTGAAAGGAAAGGAACCTGTACATGAAACTGCACCTGACCGACATCACGATGAAGCACAGGGGCAAACAAGCACGCATTGTGGTGCTCCAACGTGCCCACCCAGGTAAACCTGAACGACCACAGTCAACTCTCGCCATTCAAGTGTGCAGGTCTGGCAGGATGCATGCCACGCCCCCAACGAAAAGAAAGAGTAGCCTGCCAGCCAGGAAGTCTCCAGCATCTCATAATGCACCAAGTGAGGAAAAAGAGGAGCCAAACTTCATCGCTTGATGTTGTCATCGCCCATGGGGTACGTTGGTGGATCTAGAGCTTTTCATTTTAACCCAGGTAGTGGCATGCTGCTACATCGAGCGATGCTCAGAGCGATCACTGCTCCGACAAGATGCCAACGGCTCCGCAGGAGAGGCCAGCCAAAAATCTGGCACAGTTGGCTTACGACGACCAAATGAACCCCCAAGCCCTTGCATGACCCTTCCAGGCAGGACCATCATGCAAACCCCCGCCCCCCTCCCAACCACCACCACCACCACCACCAGAGAACCAACAAGTCCGACATAGGCCGACAGCTAGATGAAGCCATCTGCAGAAAATGTGCCACCACAAACTCTGCAGATAGCAACAGACAAAAAGGGGATGAGAATCCAAGAACTAGGGCCAAAGCAGATTCCAAAGAGTGGACGAGCACAGCCTCTTGGCATGCGACGCGAGAAGCAAAGAACAAACACCACTTCCCTCAGAATCAGCACAAACAACTTTAACAAGGCAGCCAACGCCTGAGTCGCCGAGGCAAGTGCACTGGCCCGGAACCCAGCTCCTCCACATCCTCCTCGAGCCAGTCTGAAGACAGCTCCAGCAGGGAAAAGAAGTGCAAGACTGAAGCTAAATGCCCCCCGGGTGTGCAAATCCTCAGCTACCAGGGAAGCTGAAAGGAAAGGAACCTGTACATGAAACTGCACCTGACCGACATCACGATGAAGCACAGGGGCAAACAAGCACGCATTGTGGTGCTCCAACGTGCCCACCCAGGTAAACCTGAACGACCACAGTCAACTCTCGCCATTCAAGTGTGCAGGTCTGGCAGGATGCATGCCACGCCCCCAACGAAAAGAAAGAGTAGCCTGCCAGCCAGGAAGTCTCCAGCATCTCATAATGCACCAAGTGAGGAAAAAGAGGAGCCAAACTCAATAGGAGGATTCATTATTGAGGCGTAATCCGGGTCTTGTAAGAGGTAAGCTGCAATGGCCTCCTGCACCTCCCTAGGCGGGATGCGGGAAGCCGAAAACCTCCGGAAAGAAGGAACCGAGGAACCTAAGGGAACCCCCAGAACCAAACGTGGGGAGAAGCCAAACTCAAATCAAACTCGTACAGGAAGGGGGATAGGAAAACCCTTCCCCCAGTAACAACAAGCCCCACGCCAAGGGTACCAACACTAAAGCGGGGTCAAATGGGCCTCAAGCCCTCCCAGGTCAACTCCTCCCCAGCACCACGATCCTCCACATGGGCAGAGCTGTCTTCCAAACCCTCTGCCTCTGGAGAAAAGGCAGAGTCCACCGGAAAAGCAGGAAAGGAGAAGTCCGCTGGCATGATCTGGAAGCCCCTGCAGGAGGAACAGGCTCGAATGCCCCTGTCGCTGACCCAGAAGGGGCAGTCCCCAAAGCCACCCAAGTCTCAACACCAAGAAAGCCCTGCCCCGACTGAAACCCTCAGACGTTTGGAAGCCGGGATCAGGAAGGAGGGGGATGGGAGCAGGATGAACCACAGCAGGGTAAGGACCAGGGGCACGGATGAAACCAAATTCGAGGCGACTAATGTTCCCAAGTCCAGGTCCTTATGACCAAAGTAGGGCAGCCTCAGGGCATCCAGAAAGGCAACCAACCTAGCGCATTGCAGTAACCTAAACCTCACATGCAACGATAAAGCTGCCTACACCCGAATATCAATAGCAGTGGACTGGGTGAACTGGAGTACAAGCAAGGAACACCACTCGCAGGACTCCGGGCCAAAGGTGTCATTGACCCACCATGCAGCACAGTGGAGGCAAAAATGGTGAGTGTCACCCTGAGACAAGGGGACAGAACAACCTTCAAACTTGCATGATGCGAGATGGGACTGAGGATGTATCCATTGGACCAATGAGCCCCAATGGGGGTTTCCAGGGCCCTTAGGTTGACTGCTGAGGAAAGCACAGGCAAGGTACAGCTAACTGGTTATCCCAGAACTACCAAACAAACAAATGTTGAACCCCTGCAATGTGTGCAATCACAGGGATCTAGTGGAGGGCCACCCAAAAAATACAAGTGGTCCTAAAGCCACACCAGGAAGATCCCCCCACCAGGCAAACCAGAATGAAATAAAACAACACCCTGCAAAGGCACGTCTCCAGGAGGAAGAGAGCCAGCCGCTACGCGTATTATAAGACAGCTGCACAGTACCTTGCCTCCCAGCCAACTGCCTCACCCAAGGCCAAACAGTGGCAGGAAAAAACCCAGCTGACCCCTAGGGCAGGCAATCACCAAGCAACAAATGAACCCTGCAGAGGCAGTCCCTGAACAGTTTGCGAAGGAAACCCCACACTGCAAGGGCAGTACACTTACAGGGCACCGAGGGAAGGTGACCCCAGGTGCATGCAGCCCCAGTACTTCTGGAATAACACTGTCACACACTACTACACAGCAGCACAGCACCACAAGGCACAGCACCGCGCAGGAATTCGAGCCAGAGTCAACTGACCGCCACCCAACACAACAGCCTCAGAACTGGGGTTGGGTAGCTAGCACAGGAGATCTGGGGCTCGCCCTTTTCTCACCGGGAAGGGGGGGGGGGGGGAAGATGTGTAGACAGCGATGCAGCAACTGTGGTGATGTCGGAAATTGCTGACCTGGAGAGCGTGCAGAGATCCTTTACTGCTAGAATCCACTCAGTAAAACATCTAAATTACTGGGACCGACTAAAGAGCCTAAATCTGTACTCCCTTGAGCGCAGGCGGGAGAGATACATAATAATTTACACGTGGAAAATAATTGAGGGGCTGGTCCCAAACCTGCACACAGAAATAACATCACATGAGACCAGAAGACATGGCAGGATGTGCAGAATACCCCCGTTGAAAAGCAGAGGTGCAACAGGTACTCTGAGAGAGAACTCTATCAACATCAGAGGCCCGAGACTGTTCAACACGCTTCCACTACACATAAGGGGCATAACTGGCCGGCCCCTCACAGTGTTCAAGAGAGAACTGGATAAGCACCTCCAAAGGATACCTGATCAACCAGGCTGTGACTCATACGTCAGGCTGCGAGCAGCAGCGTCTAACATCCTGGTTGATCAGTCCAGCAACCAGGAGGCCTGGTCGACGACCGGGCCGCGGGGACACTAAGCCCCAGAAGCACCTCAAGGTAAGGTAAGGTATGTCATGCTTGTTAGCTTGTTTTCTGATTGGGGAGTTCTGCCCTCTTGTTCGGCTTTCGGTTTGCAATGTTTAGCCAGCTACGTATAGTTTGTTTTGGGATTCTTACCTTTCTGGGTGCCTGACCTGGTAGATGGCAGACAGACTGCTTCCAACTACATAGGGGTGTCTATAGGCCATTGCTCCTCGTGCCTCTCAGAAGGGACCAGGTTCTGGCTCGTGGTTCCCAGTAGGCCAACAACTCCATCGATTGACTGTTGCCATGGTCTAATATATACACATCAGCCCGGTATAGTTCCGGGGACCTGAAGGGGCTCTCCACAGAAAAGATAGTTTGCATTATGAGAACCTTCAAATCTGGGATTCCACCCCAATGCTCTTACTACTCAAATCACTTGTGTTTTCATGCCTTGAATATGGGCCTCTCATGGGTGGAAGTGCTTGGGGCCATGCTCATAAACAGATGGAATAGTTGGATAGTTGAGATTCAGAAGTAGTGTCAGGCAGTGTAGAAGGAAATGTAGAATAAGAGCCAATGAAGTGTAGGTGTGCCATAGGCACAATCGGAGAACACTATATGAACAACACAGGTCCATGGCTCTTCGATATCCTCCCAACATCCTCCCAAGTTTCTGCAGGAAATACCAGACCAGTCAGATTAGAATGGATTTGTGGACTTGCGAGCTGCTCCAAGAAACAACCATCTAGATCAAGTTATCACAAGACAAGCCTGGCCCCAGGCTGGGCTTGGGAGTAGAAGAATTTCCAGAAACCACTCCAGAGAGCCCTGAAGATCACACCACCCTTACACCCCCCTAACAACCAATGCTCTGTTAAAAGCTTTTTTTTTTAATCTACCACCTGGAGTCTATATGGCCCATTATTGATAGAAACCTTACTTTCACTACCATTTATGTCTTGAAAGTTTCAAGACAAAGTTTGAATGCATAGACACAAATTTATTTGAAATAAACTTAATGCTGATAAAATCATAAGGAATTCCCCTACCAGGTATTCCAATAACAGAAAATGAGTTCAGTAATAAACCAGCCAGTCAATATAATACCATGTACCTATTTTAAAGACAACAAGCTGGCCTTATTCTACTTATTCTATTTACAACTAAATATGATATACTTACTTGCAAATTGATTTAGGGCTGTAGCATATTGCGCAAAATTACGCTGTCTGTCACCCATTGTGTTTCCTGAAAAACAAATGATAGTGTTAATTTTCAACTAAATGCACAAAATAAATTTTTCAATACCATAACAGAACAGAATGTATACAAAAGTAGGCCTGAAAGGTTTATAACATTCACTTGCTTCAACTGTTGTCTAACTTGGCTTCATTTTTATTTACAGTTCTGCAAACACTGTTGGTTAAGTACCACTGCCTGCCCATCTGAGTTCTTCTTAATACCGGGTCACCTGGCCGCGGGGTGTGAGGAGCACAAGGTCACCCCTGTTAACCTCTTCCAGGAGGAGGATTTTCCCCCGCTGTCGGCCCCGGACCTGTCTCAACCAGTGCTTCCATTGTACCAGTCATTTGTGTTCCCTGAATCACTCCACTCTTAATCTTATTTGTACAAATTATTTTCTTAATCACACATCCCAGGTTCCAGTTATTTCCCCACAAAGAAATCCATTCTCTTACCAGTGGTCACTACCACCACAACTTTCCATTTGTTTAAATTCAATTTTAGACGTCTTCTCTCTTAGGTACTACTAAAAATTAAATTTAATTTACATGAAGTTCCATATTATTTGTTAGAACTGTAGCATTTGCATATACAGTACAGTATAAAACTTGAAAATCAGATTTGATTCACTGTACTCTTAATACACACTATAATAACACACACTTCTTTAATACAGTCTTTCACCTATTACCTGTTTACAGTTTACTGACAACTGTTTCTGTCAAACACCAGGTGCAAAGCAACCCATCTGACATAAGACAGATAAATGAATGATGTATCATTGTGCAGTAAACCATAAACCACCGATATATAAACATGCAACACGTTTAGCCCTTGTCGAGCCACCAAGTGAGCGTACCAAACATTCGTGTATCCATAGAATGGAGATCAGTCAACGGGTTGGACCAAACCACAAAGGAAACAGCCTGGGAAAGGCCACCCTTGCAACATGGTATACGAGCAATGAGGTGACACAGAGGCTTCATTAACCACTGTGCGGCGCCAACTGAGAAAATTTGGTCGGTTAGAAACTGCGCCAACCGAGAAAACACCTTTTGAATATTTGGTACCCATTCAAAATGTGTGCGCGGTAGGTTGTGTACGAAATGGACTCTTAGTACCTCCAGCGAGAGGCAGTCATCTTGGAAAAAATTTCCAGAATGCCCTAGGGCTGCTGGCTGGGTTTGTACTGAGTGAGCAACCATGGGTGGCACACGTGCCTCTGGCTGCCAAACACCTGTCCAACGTGGTGTTGAAACATAACGCTCTATCGGTGAAGTTCAGACCTTATGGTTTGAACATAAATGGTGAAGCTAGACACAATAAGGACCAAACACAGGTCGGTTGCAAGTGATACAGCACCTATGAGGACGATACAGTGAGCGTATCTAGTTGTAACTCTGAGTGCCACCCTTGCCCACCTATGCCATCTCCAATTTATATAGATGATACATAGATGAATCGTTTTCTGGGTTCAGTGATGATGCATCCGATACAAGTAGCATAGATGAACAATGTTAGCAGCTTCCATGGTGGTGTTTTCCATTGATATTTTCAAGAATAGCTGAATCTCTTCCAGAATGCCTGAATCTCTTCCAGATTGACTGACACTCTTCGAGGATGACTGAATCCAGTGTGGGACCTTACAAAGCGACCTTTTCAAGACTACCTTACAAATTGATCTTTTCCTATAATCTCTTCAAGACTACCTTATGCTTTACAAGCTTGGCTACATACCACCTACAAGTACTAAAGGGTGTACGCGAGTGCATTATTTGCAAGCACAAAGAACAAAGAAACAGGAAGCGAAAATCTATCTGTACCTGGTGCAACGAGAACGAAGTCACGCTGTGTACCATGGACTACTTCATTGATTATTACTCACATCCAAAGTGCTGAGTGTGTAATACAGTGTGGCATTGTGTAAATAGTGTGTACATATTGTAATTTTAGTGAATTTTTAACAAGTAATATTGCAACAATAAACAGTTATTGTGGACACACTACTTTTTTTTTTTTTTTTTGCAGGGATATTCCTGCGCTGGCCGTAAGTTTCTGGCTGGCCCACTAAGTGTTGCTTGTTTCAGTTTTACTTGGACGGAGTATGAGTATTTATGACTCATATGGTCGCTTCAGTAAGATTTTGCCCCACGTGTTTAACAACTTCTGCTCTGTTGAATCTAAGTTGAAATCTTAATGGGTTTGTAACTCTGTACTGTGTTAGATAATGTTCCAGTGGTCTGTCTGGCATTTCTCCACAGTGCTGACATTTCCTCTCATCTTCCAGAACCTGTAAGCCTATTTCCCATGCACATGGGTATCCAAGGCTGATGCAATGTAAGTGTACTTCTGTTGTTCTACTGCTCCTTTTATTCAAACTAAGTGGTTCGTAGTTAGTTGAATTCTTGTACCAACTTGCAGATCCTGATGTTGCAACTGCTGTGTTGTGGTCACTGTACATCTTTTGCATTGCTCTGTTTCTAATTACTTTCTTAATCTGTGATAAGACTCTGTGGTATATAAATGTCTACATTTCTTCTCTTAGTTGCCAGTTTTGCAGCTTTGTCTACAATGTCATTTCCTATTATTCCCACATGACTTGGCACCCAGTTGATAAGTACCCGTCGGCCTTGTCGTTTGAGTGTTTGCATTAATAATATGACATTTGTGATCAGATGGATGTTATCACACGTGTTCTTGTTGCAAGATTTCAATGGCAGTTCTCGAATCTGTATGTATGATAACATGTTGTCCATGTTCAGCAAGAGCATGCTCCAAAGCGTTTTGAATGGCTAGCATCTCTGTAAAGTCGAACACCCATTCGAGTCTCCAACTAGTTACAAAGTTTCCTGCTTTAACTGCAGCTCCGGTTTCTTGTCCCTGTTGGTCTACTGATCCATCTGTGAAGTAAGTGTAGCTGTAAGATGCCAAGTTTGCTTCTATATGCATCTGTGCAATATTACGTAGCAGATGAGGATTTGTCTGGTTCTTTTTTCCTTCAAGAACCATAATCTTAAAGTCTGCTGGCGGAGATTCCCAAAGGGCTTGCATAACAAAGTCTGCATGTATTTCGTTGACACCCCTTTCAGTGATTGTGTTTGTTATATCGAATGTATTGATGGTGTTTATCGCACAATGGGTACACCTGTTGCTATTGGAGGCTCTTCTGGCCAGAGTTAGTGCTCCAGTGATTATATCTAAGTGAATTAATTCTAGGTTTAGTCAATATCTGGGTCAGCATGCACGCAGCAATCCCTTTTACCCTTATTTCAATCAATGTTAGCTTGGTTTCTAGTCTTAGGTTCAGTATTTTAGACACGTGTATCACAGTTCCATGGAACATTATGAACGTTCTAGTGTATACATATCGTAAAGGACACAAATATGCATCATATGCAATAAAAAAAACAAATAAAACCACATTGTAAATACATAGAACAAATAATTGAAAATATATTTGTGGCAACTCGCGGTGCTTGAATGGTCCGCACGACCGTCTCTGGGACCTTCACGCATGCTTGCTTCATGCCTAAGATAACTCAAGATAGCCCCTGATGACTTCACAGCGCACCTTGTCCATGTCCTCACAGCCAAAGTAAGTGGAATTTGGAATTTATTTTTACACAGACATGATCAGGGAAGGGAATTTATTATTTTACAAACAAAAAAAGAAATTTTTGGAAACCACACGATTTCAAGCGCACAGGGGGGGAATGTCACAAACTCAGCGCACCACAGTAGTTAACACAACAAGATAGGTACCAACCATTGAATCCAAAAAACAGCTAGGGCAGAGAAAACAATGGCAACCAACAAAAGGACGACAGAGGCTGAAGCAAGGAACAGGCGGAAGGCCTGCCAACCCAACCCATCATACAGTAATGACAAAGAAAGACGCCAACACAGCATGATGATGCCTACCATCTGATACAGGAGATAGGACAAAGGACCAAGAAACTGTAGACATAATGAACGACAGAAAATTGTGAAAGATATGCCCATCTCCACTGGCCAAAGTAAATGCAACCCTCCTTGTAGACTGCACCATTCAGAAATGGCACCACAGACTAAGCATGTAGGCTAAAGTAAAGGAATTAAGATCCACCTATGAATGACCTTATGGCCCTCAAAAGCCCAAGGAAGGAGTTCCTATCCTTTTCCTGTACTTTTGAAAACAATGACAAGGAGAAACCAAAATTGAGAATAGTCAAGCCCCAATAGGGAAGGGCACCGAGGACCAACACACGAACCTTATCAAAACCCGTAGTACCACCTTTCCCCTGTATAGATATATCTGCTTGGATTTTATGTTGCAATCTTTTCACCCAAGAGAAAGTAAACATGGTAGTACTTATACTTCCTACATCATTACCACCCATCAGACTTTTAAAAACATCTCTCCACATACTGTACTTCTATTCTGTCTTTACCAGTCTTCATTACCCAATGTCTACTTTTAAGATTCTGACCAGTCTCCTTTCTGTTCTTTCTTAACCCTTTCCAAAAGCCCTTGTTTATTTAATTACAGTTTTATATTTTTTAAATATCTTCCTTATTTGCATTATCTGCATATCTTATCTTCTCGTACACAGTATAGTACTTATTAATATTCTTAGCATACTCCTGTGTTCTTGTCTCCTATGTTTTTGTATCTCTCTCATTCACTTTGGACCTACAAAATGTACTTATTTTTTTTTTATCAAGTGCTCCTGCGACATGATCATCCCAGCAAACAGCTCTCTCTGTTTCCTCAACTCCCCACACTTGCTTGAGAGTTTGTACTAAACATTGTAGACCACCTGGTCTCACACACCGGGCCACGGCCACTTCATCCTCGGAATCATTGCAAGGTAACTCCGAAAATCAACATCGAGAAATCCACAGGCGTATCCTGCACGTTACCGAGGTCCACCCATTCAGTCTCCTTTCATACTTATTGCCTACGCTTTCATAAAACTATTATTTCACTTCTTGAATGCATGTTAAGTACCATCACCCATTTACCA